TAGTGCCCTAGTATTGATCACACAGTGCATCATCATCAACGGCCACTGAGAAAATACAAGATGATGAGATAAACTGGTGATGGAAAATACAAGAGGATGCCAACAGCGGCACTGCATCATACCAGACTTGGTTGTTGTAAGAGGCTAAATTCTCCTCAGGGATTTAAATGTTTTCCCATTAACAAAGATCTACATCAGCTCACTAAGAAAACCCCATGGAACCTAGAAAAATATTCATGACATCAGTACACGCATAACAGAGTTTGGCAATTTGTCACATCTAAAGCAAGAAAAATAAAAGGAATAATCTCATTTGAAATTAACATCAACACACAGTTCTTCACGTTGATGCACATATTAAGAATATTTTTAAATTAATTCAATTATTAAGAATATTTTTAAAGAAAAAGTGCACTGAATTTACATGTGGTTCCTCTAGGAAAAACAATATTACTCTATCCAGGTAACATTACATATTAAAGAGTTAAAAAACAATATTATTCTATCTAGGCAACTTTACATATTAAAGAGTTAAACTCCAGCCCTTTGCTATTGAGACTGTTAGAAAAACAGAAAACTTAAATGAGAGGCTTACAAACTTTTTTTTTTTTTTTTTTTTTTTTTACATAAAAGGCCAGTTTTCTCACCTCACTAGTCTCTCCCCAGGAAAAATCAGCATGTTCCAGCACACTGGTGGAAGAGAATGCTGTAGTGCAAATAAATGACTAAAAAAGAACTTGTTAATGACTTTAATTTTTTCAGGTAATATGCACACCTAGATCACACATTCAAAGCTGACTAATCCTTGTCAATTGAGATAAATCAGAAAACTTTGCCACTATTTTTTAATTATTTTTTTAAAACCTAGCAGCCTTCCATAACACCTTCTAAAATGTTGGGATTGGCAATTTTTTTTCAGAAAATGTCTACAGTGCGGAACTGAAATCACATAACTGATACATAAATGAGCAGTTTTCAACATGATTCTCTCACAGACAGAGATGGCAAATGCTTTTTTCCAACTCTCTCACACTGCATCTTCTTCCTCCATTAATTATGCCTTTGATTTTCAGTTGTGCTATTTCTTCCCTATTGCTTATTCTGCCATGCTTTCCCACTTTGTATTTAATTTTTTAACATTCCTTCCCACTTTTTTTTTTTTAAACATTATTTTCTTAAGATTTCCTGCCTATTATTGGTAGGACCATAGGATACACCTACTCTTAGCAAACCATTGCAAAGTCTGAGAGAAAATTCGCATAAAATTACATATACCAACATTTTGCAAATACAAATATCCCACAGCTCTACCTTGCTACATCTTCCCTAAGTCTACTGACCAGCCTAAAATGTCTCTCTCTTGTATATTCCACTAACAAATTCTCCTAACTTCAGTTCCCCTTCACCTAAGTCCATCTGTCTCTCAAATCACAGTGTACCTGTCTCACTTTCTTTACGCTTCCCTCCATCACCCTGAAGATCCCTTCTTTCAGTTCTGCAAGGTCTCCCATCACAAAGTGGGAAAAAAGTCAGAACCAGAAGGCAAAAAATATTTGAGCTGGAAGGTCAGGAGAGAACCACAAGTGGCCCTTCCAATTTATTTCAGATACTTTCTTTAGCTGCTCAGAATCAGAAAGGATGCAAAACAAACAAATAAACAGAACCTAGAAGCTCCTATAAAAACCCAAAGGCCAAGCAAGTCTGGTATCTTCAGATGAGAAGAAATCACCTGTCAAAGAAATGTTGATGCTTAGGTCGGGATAAAGGATGGTTGCACCAGCAGTGGCAAGAAACCCACAGACAGAGAAAATACAAGTGAGCCCAGGCAAAAGATTCCAGGAGCATATGGGAGGAAAGTCATCTTCAAAGCCTCCATTTTACCAAATGGGGAATTCAAACTGTTTAGGAAGATAAGATCTCAAAAATCTCCCTTTCGTTTTGTGTTACTTCTCTGTCTCTTGAATGTATCACTTCAATAGTATGTGTAATACATTTTGGGCCTCATGCAGAATCATTTTGGTTGGTAGGGATATCTTGAGATTTTCTTGTTCAACCTTGCTGCTCAAGCAGGGTCAGTTAGTGCAGGTTTCCAAGGATGAAGTCTCCAGGTCCTCTTCTGGAAGACTGCCTTCTAGATGTTCATTCCCTAGCCTGTACCAGTGCCTATAGTTACTACTCTCCAGATGCAAGACTGTATATTCCTTTGTTGAACTTCATAAGTCTTCTGCCAGTTCTCAAGCCTGTTCAGGTCCTTCTGAATTGCAACACACTCATCTCATGCATCAGCTGTTCCTTCCAGTTCTGTGTTATCTGTGAACATGCTGCAGGTTCATTTTGTCTTGCAGTTCAGCTCGTTAATGAAGAGGTTAAACAGCACTGGACCCAGCACCTAGCACTGAACATGCAACATGAACTGCATGGGAGAGTTATGAAAAATACCTTAAGGTTAACTACTCACTAACTTTGCTGAATGAGTTAGCTGAAATAACCAAAGTATCATTTACATTGGGTTCCTGTTTACTAGAGAATTGACAGTACTGGACTGCCAAAGATCATAGGCAACATTTATTAACACCAACACTAAGCTTTCTATAATGCACATTGCAAGGCAACTGTTTAACAGGCTGGCATTTTCTTTGCAAAATAGTTCAAATACTAAACTCTGCTGTAGACTGCAGCAGGAAGTACTCCAATATACAACAAAAAACAAAGGAGGGTATGCACAGCTAAAAGGCTGTGCTCCTGTCATGTGTACCTGAGTGCACAAACTTTATGTCCATCCTTCCAGTTGACTGCTGGAACTGACAGAACTGGAGGCCAGCTTTGGCACATCTGTAAACCCCTCTGTTGAGGACAAACCACCTCCAACGAGGACAAGAAAATAATTCCTTCAGTTTGAGTAGACTAAAATAGCCTTTCCTTGAAATCATGAGAAATGATCATTCTGTATGATTCTCATTCACGAGAATCATCATTCTATATTAAATTCTTAATTCTTTATTAACAGTTAACAAGCAAGAAACAGTTTATGCTCTCTAAGAGACACATACTGTAGTTTGAAGACCTAATGGATGACTTGAAGAGCACAGAGCAGATTGGGTCAGCAATTCTTACCAACAGCACACTGTGTTACTTATCACCGCTTCCCTCATTTGCAAGTATGATGTCTCTTGACTCAGTCCCAACTTTAGCACCACCTGGCTTTCTTAAAATGGTTTTCGATTCATGAAAAATATGTTCTTAATTATCATAATGCAATAAATAGCCCATCTGATGTACTTTATGAATAATATTTTTCCACATCCAGACTCTTACTTTTAGGTTAGCAGTTTAGGATATTATTTTGGTTTTTTTGCACATACACATATTTCTAAATACAAATATTATTGATAAGAAAGAAATCTTCAACAGGTGTTATGTCCTTCTCAGTGAAGCACAATTAAATCTATTCAACTAGACAGACATTATTTAGTAAGTACATTCCATAAGCTACTGATTCTGAAATTATGCTGTAATACAAAGGAACCAATTTCCACATTAATTTGTATTAATGCAATGACTTAAGATCAAGAATTCTCTTTATCCTGTTTTTGCCTACTGTGAAACCATGGCCTGAATTCCAGAAACATCTCACACTTGAAAGGCAAAGCCCACAAAAAATTCCCATATTGTGAAGAACAGCTTTCACTCTTGAAGAACAGATGTTTTTTGTCATTCTCACAGGATCAACACTAGTTATCCTAACATTTTAGCTAAGGAAACCTTCTAGAAATTGTTCTTTGCCAAAATTTGTGTTTTCTTCAGAAGCAATCCAAAGAATTTAGAGTTCAGCAACATGCCTTTTTACAAACACACACAGAAATTGCATAGAAAATAAAAGTCATTACCCTGTAAAAAAATTTTTTTAAAAAAAGGAATGTAGAAGAGTTTGGTGAATAGCCAGGCCTTTGGTTACTACACTGCTCATAAACACCCTTAGTCTCTTTGAAACTTTCTAAAAGATAGCCAAGATTATCATAAGTAAACACATAACCAAAAAATCTATATCGCCACCACTGTAGATCATGTTTGATCTCCAGGTCTTGCATCTGAGTCTGTGCTAAGTCCCACTACAAAAATCCTTGTCCCATGACCTATTTCATTTGCATATCCTGTATAATACAAGAACAATTCTCTATATAAATTATTCCTATTCGTGATTCATCAAGCTTCTTATCACAGACATGGTTTTCTGCACCACTGGACAGAAAGGCTCCTACAGGGAGTGAAGTCAGCCAAAAGAGAAGCAACTCGAGCAGAAACAAAAAGATTAATTAAAACCACCCATTTATGGAAGAAAAGAGGGCAGCAATACCTATATGCTGCAATTTACAGAAGTTGTATTTGTGCATCTATTCAGGGAGAAAGGCACCTACAGAGCCTTCCCTAGCTCTCTGATGACAGTGACTATTTGAAATGGTATCTGGATAAATTTCTCCAATTCTATTTAAGAAGCTGTAAAACAATTAACACGTCAAAAATACATGACTTAGTTTTCCCATGGCAAGCTATGTTACATAAACATTCACCTGCTTACTCTCCAAACTGCACTATATTTTTAAAGCTATTATGAGTTCATATTTTATCCTACTTCTGTTTTGATGGCTTGTAACAGATGGTAGAATTATTTAGTTTGTTTTCAGTTTATCATGTACGTACCTTATATGTCTTTAACCCAGAAAGGAAGCAAGTGAAGAAGAGGAGGAAAGCCACCCCATTGCATTGCTCTACCTACTTCCCTGAGGCCACTCGAGAGGCTGCTTTGCTCCTCAGAGTTCCTCTGCACTGGCAGCTCCTGCTGTGGACCATCAAAGGGAGGGCACTGAAGACACCCAAATTTGAAAACCTGCCAGGGAGACTTCCAATGCACACCTCTGACAAACTGGAAGGAAGGGCATTTTTCTGGAGAAGAGAAGGAAACTGCACGGTTTGCATGGCTCAGGAAAATTCTGAAGTTGGACCAATTCCTCCTTTTTAAGAGGGTAAAATAAGATTCACCTGGCAGACCACAGTTTCCCCAGTTAAACCATTATCTTATTTTAGATTATCTAAGTCTGGCCTAGTCAAACATAAATTTAGCTAACTGGAGGGTTTCTGCTATCACTTAGTTTGGTCAGCTTGAAGAAAGTTGGGTACCTTCAACTCTGAGTAGAGTTTCCTGGTGGAGGTTCCCTACTTCTATGATATATTCATTCCAATTCTCCTTTTGAGTTGGAGAAGTAAAGACACAAATAAATTACCTACATAAATACAGCATCTGTCAGTGCTAATATACAGAAGTTTCTTAAAGCCCTATGGTTTGGGGGAGAAATAGTGATTCAGTTATTCTAAAATAATTCTGTTCTCTAAAAACAAGGAACTAGTCACCTGTAGTCTCTCAACAGTTAATGGTGAAAGATGAAGATACAAAGGATTACCATTCAACTTATTACAGATGCTTTTCTCAGTATACAAGCCCACTAAAAGTACTTTTTAACAGCACTAAGAAGAAGAAAGTTCAGATAACAAGAAAATGTGTGTGAGAAGAATCTCACTCCAAACCACCTACAAAGTTATGAGTTTTCAGACACTGACTTTTCCTTGCATTGTCTGTCATGTTATATTAGAAGCAGAAACAGAGGTCTACATGTGCTTTCATAAGTGGTAAGTGCTTTATTTGCTGTAACTTCAAAAAGATGAAAGCTCCTAAGGGCAGTTAAGGTCCCCCTAAAATATGCTTGGTTCATATAATAAAATCTACGACAGTAATAATGGAAGTAAAAAAGGTTTGCATTATTAAAGTATTTATCTTAAAAAAGAAACTAATATTTGAGGCCAACACTTACATTTGTACTATGTTCCAAGTTCTTCCAGTCAGGAGGTCTGGTAGGAGAACTAGAATTACAGCAATGGGATTTACCATAATGCAGACTTTAAGAAAAGGCCATTAGAGTAGCTGTTCTGAGTACAAGCACCATTAATGACTTCAGACTGGCAAGCAGCCTGACACAGACATGATCACTTCCCATGCCAACAGTATTAGTTGCTGTCAAGACCACCGCTAATGATGGTGTCTGTCACTTTTGACACTGTTGACTGTGACATCCAGTCAACAGTAAAATGGTTTATGAACCTCAGGCTGAATGTGAATCTGGCTGAGTAAAATGATTATGCATTATGTGAATTCAAAGCACAACACTTATTTAACAGGGCTGTAAGAGATACTAATGGAAGTTCCCCAGAAATAAAGCATTCTGTGTACCTGATAGTGAAGCATTACAGTTATGAGGATGCTGAAATATTTACACAGAACAGTAAAACTTTAAATATTGTTATCTTGATGATATATCTGAATGAAAATAAAAGTCCAGGAAAATATTTTGACAATTTCATGAAGAATTCCTCATTTAAGAAGACAGAGACCTAAGAAAACTAACGCATACAGACATGCCCTGATTTGGGTGAATTCTGTTGAATTTAATTTTAGAGAATCACAGAATCCTTGAGCTTCAGAAGGACTGCTTGAGGTCCCTCATCCAACCCTATCCTGCTCAAGCATGTTCTACTACAGCAGGTCATCTGGGACTATGTCCAGTCAAGTTCTTCATTATCTTCAAGGATAGAAACTTTATGAACTTCACATGGCATGAAGTTAATAGGCATTTGGTCTATTGTACTATATTTTTCTGACAGCTTTTTCATTCTTTGGTAGCTGAGACAGCCAGCTGTCCTTAAAAAAAAACCATGCACCATCTACCATGCAGTCACCAATAAGGGAGAGAAACATTGCTCAGAGCAGCACATCCCACAGCACGCTGGAAGGCTGGCAAGTCTTCACTTCAATGGGCAAGACAGTGGGAAAGTGGTTTATTTTCCATTTTAATGCTTTTCTATTTTGCCATAATTGCTTCATTGAAAAAAGTTTTTACATTCAGCATCTTTTTCATGTTTCTAACTTTAAAAGGCAACCAACATTCCAGCTCTAACTACAATCTTCTGACATCAGAATCAACCCAAGATTTGATACAGTATTACCTATGTCAAAAAAAAGCTACCATGATTGGTAATTTGTGTTGCCTCACACTATGCTTAAGGCTTAAAATATCATTTGACTTACAGTAGTACAAAACAAACCTAAATTATTTTAAAATAACTTCTTAAGCTGCACATAGCTTAAAGAGGCAATCAAATTTACCTGAAACATATACTCTAATGGGAAAGAGAAGTATATTATCAGAACAAGTAATCTTATTAAAATTTCAGCAGCTGTAAAGAGTTTAAATTATTCCTTTCAAGATTTATCAAGATGCTCAGAGGAAAGACAAAGACAGATAAACCACATACTGCAAGACAATAATAGATAATTCACCATACTGAGGAAGGAAGGAAGGAAGGAAGGAAGGAAGGAAGGAAGGAAGGAAGGAAGGAAGGAAGGAAGGAAGGAAGGAAGGAATTCACTATTTCAGATGGCTCTTATTTCAGTTGACAGATTTCAAGGTGCTTTAAAAAAATAGAATTATCTCCATTCTATTGATAAGGGCGTTACAGTCCACAGGAATAAAAATAACTCAGTGCATATGTCTGGACAATTGAACAAGGAAGAACAGTGTAATCCAAAAACCTGGTACCATCTCAGGAAATGGGAGAGTGCTCTATGCACAGATTTTGTCAAAGGGAATTTTTTCCTCTTTTCTCCAATATTGCTGCTTGCTTTGCTGGAGGACCACAGCATACAAAAGCAAGCAGAACATGAAATCAGATCACATGTGCAGCACAATAATGACAAACTGTGTGAATTTCTGAAGAACAGGACAAATATTTTAAAACATGTATGGCTTTGGTAGCCAAAGTGCCAAGCTGATGCTGCATGCAATATGATCTAAGGGCACGCCAAATAATTGACTTAGTTAGCTGCTGAAACACTCTCCACTTCTTGCAAAAAACCATGCCAGTAACTTAAAAGGAATATTGCTTTCAGATTAAATTTTAATTATGTAGTTTTAAATACTTACTTTTTCTGAATATATATATATAGTGCAGTACTATGAAATATGTCTATTACAATATACCACTCTGAAGTGCATAAGCAGAAGTGAAATACATACCTCGAGCTTAAAAAGTTACATTTTTAAAACATTCTTGAATTTATAAGAGGCAAAAGCCAGAAAATCTTGAAGCATTTATTCCAAAAACTGACAATCTCAAACAAAGTATCTTAATGAAATTTAACAGCTCTGAAGATATATTTTTTAACAATGTATGATCAGCAATAGCTTTGGCTTAAGGCTATGCAAAGTCCTAAACCAACAGAAATTACTTTGTTGTGTGTAGCAGAGTTTATCATCAAGTGAAGAAGCAAGCATGAAAATAAAAAGGTTACTGTATCAGAATATTGTTAAGTAAAATGAAGAAAAATCCTCTTTCTTGCTTATATCTTAGAGTACCTTCAGAACCCCACTCTCTAGGGTATCACTAAAATCTGCTGCTTAAGATCTCGTCTTGGTTTGATTCTAAGTATGTAGCTTACTGCTCTAAAAAAAAATTGGAAAAAATATTGGATAGTGTAATTTCTCACTCTATAACCTGTTAAGGGAGGATTCTTCCCCCTCTGAGCTCTGCTTCTCTTCAGCTAGCCCCATACATCCTGGACACTTCCCCATCTGGGCATAAGTCCCAAAGTAGCAGCAGAGGTAATTCTAGCAACTCTATTGAGATAACATCAGTGTAAAGGAAAATAGTGAGAAAGTGACTGCTTCCCCCCAACTTGAGAATACCAGCTTCCCAAATCAAAGATGTGAGTGGCACACTCGAAAAGAGGAGAGGAGAGGAGAGGAGAGGTAATTTATCTGTCACTTTACTAGCTTTCGGTAACAAAGGCAAATGCTGACAGGAGTCTCACCTGGTTTCTTGTAAGTGGAAGATGAGAATCAATACAGAATTACCAAAGGAGAATTCTGAGACATGTCAGAACTAAGCCCCAAAAACTCAAACCAAAAAATTCCATAATGAAGGGAAAGCAGCAATCTCTCACTTCAAATCACAGTTTGTAGTGCAATGTAATCATTCATCCTCCAGAGGTAGCCAAGCATTATTTTGATTCTTGTATTTCAGCTATTCTGAACAACTTAATTATCATCCTTTGCTAAAATGGATGCAGGAATGATGCAGGTTTAATTCTCTAGCCATGCTGTATGGTGTGTTTGGTTGTTGATGTGAATACTGCAATTCAGTAAAGCAAGCAGAACTAAACAAAAACTAAAGCTTTTTTTTGCCTGTGCAATGACTTTAAGAGATTTCTAAATAACAACACTGAAATGCAGAAGGACATATTGCAAAGACATGTTGGAAGCAAAACTACTGACATTTGCAAGACTTATATAGCAAATATCTCCTTCATCTTACTTCTTTTCCAGATCTACTCCCTTGCTTCAGCATTGGTTCGATGCTTGTAGTGTACATGTATGTGGAACACAGCAATTCAAAATACTTTGAAAGCACCAAATTTGATTTAGTAACTAACAGAATTTATCAAATGATCACTTCATTACAGAACATTCCCCCTTCCTCTAGGAATGTTGAGGTTTACTTATAATTTAAAGCACAAATTCAGATCTTGTTTCCAAAACACTTTATATATTACCAGGCATACTTAGTTTCATTGATTTATTTTACTGATACATTTTCAATTCTGCTTTATTTTATCACGTGATTCAAAGTGACAGCCTATTACTGAGTTCATATTTTCTGTCTGACTTTTCTGGAGTTTAGATTAATAAATGTATTTGTAGTCATTATTTACACTACCACTTTGGAATTACATTTAACATCCTCCATACAACAATACATATTTACCTATGGCAGATCCACTTTGCCTCTGTAAAATATTGACTTTCTATTACCACCATAAGAAAAGACAGAATTTTAGGAAATTAATTTCTCACTCACCCACAGTTTGCTCAGGATGCTCATAAAAGACATACCAAGTTACAAG